GGGTTTAGGGTTTAGGGCTTCAACAACCAGGCCCAAAACCGGTCAAGCGTTTTAGGATAGACCTAATATATAAGGTAAGGCCAAAGAGCTTGAAGGTCTCCCAATTTAATATGATGGCTCCTTACTGTGGTAACTTCGAGTAAATCTTTAACAAAAAACTCCAGTAAACCCTAAACCCCTAAACCCCTGAACCGGAATTCAGGGTAAAGGGGTTCTGATTTGTTCAGAGATCAGGTCGCGTGGGTTGGTAGCGGCTTGGACTGCTGTTGTCTTGCCGTCATGTTAAAGGAAACCACAGGTGGGGAGTTTAGGGTTTTTAGGGCTTCCATAAGGCCTCTATAAGGTAATATAGACCTTCGATAAGGCTCCTATAGCGGTAACTACCCACCTGAAAATGTCCTAGATCATGGAACTGCTGAACCCTCAACATGTCCAAAACCCCAACAACACGAACCCCCAATACGAAATCGGCCCTGAACATCGGAGCCCCAACTCAGAAAAGTCTAAGGCGGCCCCAAGCCATGTTGTGGTACCTAAACCCGACACCCCGAAAGCCCTAAACCCCCCCGAGCCCCAAACGGGTCAACTCTAAACTTTTAAACTCTGAACCCTAGCGTTTGGGGTTTAGGGTTTACGGAGCTTTGGGTCTTATTGTTTAGAGGGTTTTGGGGTTTTCCCGAAGGGACCAGGGTTACCACACTTGAAACCTTAACCTGTAACAGTAATCGGAACCAGCGATGCCCGAGCCTTTCCGGATCCACCATGACATTGCTACTCTCGTCGTCGCGGCCTCTGCTCTCGGGGAGGGGGGCAGGGGGGCGTCATAGGGTTTCTGTGAGATTTCTTCCTATGGGGTTCGTGAAAGGTAGTTATAAGGCTGTTTGTTTCTCTTTGATGAAGGGTTTATAAGGGATTACAAAGCCCAAACCTACTAAACTCTACACCCCAAAACCAAATCCCAAGCCTCAAAACCCCTGAACTGTAACACCCCCGAAGCTTCCGCCGAGCCTAAAACTAACTCTTCAATCCTAGCCCCTCCACCCTACCTAAACCCCAAATTGTAAGTGAAATTAATGGCCCGAAACTTATAAAAGTCTACAAAAATGTCGGAACACAGATCCTCTTAAGCCCAATAAGGGGAAATATAAAAGTGTCCCAAAGGCCTGCCTAGAATCAGCATACTTTTTTAGGGTCCAGGTAGACCCTACGCAACTTCAAGCCCTCGCTACGCATTGAGGCCGTGACTGGTCGTTTCGGCACTCGTTGCGGTGCTAACTGTGACCTGGCCACACATGATCGGGGGTTCTGTAGGTTTTTTCTGGTTTGAATGGTCGAAGGCCCCTTTACCTTTTTGGGGTGACCTTAGTTTCTTATTATAGGATCCCTAATATCGGTCATCCAAAAAGGGTGCTACATTCAAGGGTCTAGGTATGTGTACTGAAGAAGCCTGAATTAATGGTTGCCAAGACTCTTCGGACTTATAACTACAGTATAAAGCCCACCCAAAACCGTATTCTAATTATCAAGGACCCTCTACAAACAACAGCCCTAACCGTTGTTCAAAGAGCCTGAAAAGGAATCCCATTCTCATGGTCAAGGCCCTAATGGGATCGAGGCTTCCTAAAACCCTACCCAAACCCCAAGCCCTAAACTCTCAATCCTGAGCCCACCTGAACTCTAAAACACAAATTTTTAGGGCTCGTTCATATCAACTCCTGATATAAATCCTTGAATAAAGGGTAGGTTGATTGGGGTCCAGGTAAACCCGACGCCCTAGACGCCGAACCCCATACTCCAACCAAAGGGTCCCAGTACCTCGTAATCATATACTCTCCCAAATAGTAACCTGCATAACTACTCTCCGAAGCCGAAGTAGCTCATTATTGGCTCCTTTGGACCCTGGGATAAAACCCTAAACCCCAAACCCTACTACACCCTACACCCTAAACCTTACTAAACCCTAAACCTTACCAAACCCTAAACACTAAACTCTACACCCGGACTTGGGACCTAATGAATTGTTGGGTCCTTTGGACCTCTTAGGGCCAGGGCTCGCGCCTCGGTGGCAGTGGCACGCGGAGCCTGTCGGCTGCGGCTCGGCGGCCTGGCAGGGGAGCGCTAGGCCCCGGGTTTTGGGAGCTCCTGAAATCGGATTCATGAATAGAGGGTTTAGGGTTTAGGGCCGTTTGGGGCTTATAGGGTTTAGGTTTTAGGGTCTAGGGTTTAGGTCCGTTTAGGGGGTTTAGGGTTTATGGGATTTAGATTTTAGGGTTCAAGATTTGGGGTTTAGGGTTTAGGCCGTTTGGGGTTTATAGGGTTTAGATTTTAGGATCGAGGGTTTAGGGTTTAGGGCCGTTTAGTGTTTATTAAGGGTTTAGATTTTAGGGTCTAGGGCTCAGGGTTTGGGGCCGTTTGAGGTTTATTAAGGGTTTAGGTTGAGGGTTTAGGGCCGTTTGGCCGCTTAGGGCTTGCAGGATATAGATTCGAGGGTTTAGGGTTTAACGCCATACTATCTAAGGCTGTTGAAAGGATTCCTAGGGTTTAGGGAGCCCTTAAACTGGTTCCTTCAACGGGATTCCTAGGGCTCCTCAGAGGGATTCCTGGGTTTAGGGTTTCAAGGGGCCTCCTCAATCCTAGGGTCCCTTCGGGGTCAACGTAGACAGGATCTCCGGATCGGGTTGGGGGGTTGGGTTTCTTTTCAGGGTGCAACGACCTTTCACACATCACTGCGTCTTGCCCGCCTTATAGACTTACACCAGAAAAATCCAGTGTGCGTTGCACCAAGGGATAAAAGCCACAACCCTGCACACTGCACGACCCTACGGGGACGAGAAGCAGCCCGAAATCACTCTGTAACTCGCGACAACAGAAACATCCACAGTATTCGCAGGCTGCACCAAGGCTCCACCACCCACCGCCGACAAAGAAGCAGACGACATAGGCGAAGCAACAGAAGAAATCAAGGGCAAAATGAACCGCTGCTCTTCTTGCTAGGTGCCAAAGGGGACAAGAGGCTCCGCAACATTTCCGTCCGCGGCCCACACCGTGACTTGCCGTGACTGGCCAAGGCTAGATGGAGGTCGTGACAGCCTGCCTATGGTGTTCACCACAGCCTTAGCAGGCAAAGCAGCTGCAGAGTGTCGAAGCTTTCCTTGGCAAGGTCCTGGCTGAAGGAGATGTCATTGTACGCCTGCCTGACATGCCTTGCTGATCACCTCGTAGAAGCTGTCCTGCTGTCTTTGTGATTTTTGTTGGGCACCCCTTTGGCGGGCAAGTAAGCCGCGGTGGCCTTGTAGACGTCCTTCGTGGTGGTCAACTTGCGGTTCGCCGAATTCAAGATCGTGACTGAGTCGTAGGCGTTGGCGTCCTTCGCAACTTTGATCTGTTTGTCAAGGGACCTCTGAACCTTCCCAAACTCGTATCCGATTTTGGGGTTGACGTCCGGATACTTGGCCATCTCGGACATCAGTCCCACTACTTGGGTCTCCAAGGCCTGGCTGTTCTCCAGGATGATGTCATCCTTTGAGCGGGTGTCTTTCTTTCAAAGCAGCATGCCCGTGCCACCGCGGCAGTTCCTGGCAGAAAAGGTCCACTGCCTCAATCGAGTCAGCGCATCCACTGTAGCCATTTGGGTTGGGTTTAGGGTTTAGGGTTTAGGTGTAGAGTTTAGGGTTTAGGGTTCAAGGTTTCCCTACATTCCCCCCCAACTACCCATCTTAGAACCCACCTGTAGGCTCCATCGTAGTTCCTTTGCGGTTACCTTTTTGTATCTTTGGTACAAAACTGGTCCAAACCAAAAAAGCAACCAAGCTGGAGACAATAGGTAAGTATGCGCGCTATTCGGGACCATGATCTACTTTAGGGGTACTTGGGGGGTGCTCGTTGGGGCTTAGGATTGAGCTGAGATCGAAGAGCACAAAAGTTAAGAGTGCAAGGTAAAGCTGAACCCTAAACCCTAAACCCAATCCTAAAACCCTCAACCTAAACCCTAACTCCCTAAGTCCCAAACCCTGAAACCTAAAACCCAAAACCC